AGGAATCTGAGGCAGTTCCATCAGTGGCATCACTTTTTGCCTAATTGTTCTATAAATCACCAGAGCAGCTGCAGGCCAATTATGTTCAAAAATGTGCAGGTGGTCAGAGGAATGACTGGGAAAAAATGCACTCCTGTTTTAAGGGACCTTGTGTTTCTTAAAAGGTATAAAAGGCAACAGCTTTTTAAATCGAGAGTAGCAAAGGGCCAAAATAGTTAAAATGAAAGAAATAGTCAAATAAAAATGTAACGTGGGCCAGATGTAAGCAAATTAAATGGAACACTACAGAGGTGTTCCAAAAAATGCTCATAATACAGTTGAAGAGAATGGCTTCTTTCATTTTGTTATGACTTAAATACTAGGACAGTCTTTATATATAATTAAAACATTTTGAATAGCAGTGAATCCATGCCACTCCATCTCTGATCCCAACTTTGTGTCCTGCAACTACTGCCGTAAATGAAGTACAATCTTCATCATTACTGATAACGCTGTTACTCAGTTCCTGTAGCCGTAAATAGAGGTCACTGTGTATTCACCCAGAAATCACTCCATGTGACCACATAAACAACCTGCACAGATTATGTTTTCTCACATTTTAGAAAAACATAGTCTGAAGCGAGTGAACTTGACCAATAGCCACGGTAATGCTATTACCATGCCCGAGAAGACTTAAATGTTTGGCTTAATGGCTATTATGTGTCCCAGTATACAAGGCCACATTGCCCCATCTTACTCCCTTTCACAAATCCCTACTTATAACAGTTTGTTCCCTGCCCCCCCCCACCCCCCGCATATGCCTTGTACTGAGCTGAGATTTGCGAGGAACAGAAAAAATCACAAGTACTTCCATTCCTCAAGGAAGTGAAAGTACAACAGAAGAAATGGCAAGTATATAAATAGCTATAAACATGATAGAAAACAGCAGTGCTATTTGAGAGTGCCCAGAAGTTTGTTGGTAAAATGTTTTATGTTGGCTTTCTTACTGAGCACTTATTAAGTGTGGAGACAAAGATAAAAGCTAGCATGAAAAAGGCAGACATATTACTTGATATCATAGGATTTACAATATGTATGGAAGACAGAACTAAACATGAGAAATACACATGATAATTAACATAAAGGTAAGTAGATATTCACAGAGAGTGACAGCAGGCACCTATCTTAGATAATGTGGTCAGAAACACTTCTCAAAGGCGGAATCTTTTGAGCTGAGACTTGAAGCAAAAGTCATCCATGTAAAAGTTATGGGGAACGAAAGAAAAATGAAAACATATAAAAGTGTCCATAGAAACACTTGCATGTGAACGTTCATGGAAATATTATTCATTAAACAGCAGTGAAAACCATGCCATTCCCAAACCATGCCATAGCCAAAGCAGAAGCAACCTAAATGACCATCAACTGGTAACTTGGGTTGAATTATGTGCCCCCAAAAGATATTATATGTTGAAATCCTAACCTCCAGTTCCTAACAAGACAACCTTATCAGGAAATAAGTTAGTTAGATGAGATCATATTGGAATTGGGTAAATCTTTAATCCAATATGACTGATGTCTTTGTAAGAAGACAGTGGGAAGACCCACAGAGAGAACGTCATACACATCAGAGGCTGGACTGACAGAGCTGCAAGGCATGGAACACCCTGAATATTGATGACCACCACCACAAGCCAGGACGAGGCAAGGAAGGATACGCTCCGTGGTCTCAAAGACAGCACAACCCTGTCAACCTCTAAGCTTCAGAACTGTGAGAGAATAAATGTATTTTGCTTGAAGTCACTTGGTCTGTGTCTCTTTCTAAGGACAGTCTTAGGAAACTAATACAGCTGGTGAACAGATGATTAAAATATTTTTCTTCTGCACAGTGAAATACTACCCAGCCATAAAAAGAAAGGAATCACTGATACAAGCCACACCATGGGTGAGCTTCAATAACATTATGCCAAGTAAAAGAAGCCAAATGCAAAAGACCATATGTTGTATGATTTCATGTATATGTAATGTCCAGAAAAGGCAAATCTGTAGACAAAAGCAGATTATTGGTTGCCTGGGGCTAGGACTGCTTCTGGGAATTAACTGTAAACAGGCATGAGGGATATTATGTGGGTGATGGAAATGTGGTAAATTGAGTTATGGTGATGACTGCCCAACTCAGTCAATTTACTAAAAGTCATTACATTCTATGCTTTTAAAAAGAAGTTATGGGAGACCGTGAGAACTGAGGCAAAAGAGGTTTGATAGTTTCTGGTCGTTTACAGACTGCTGTGGGCTAGAGCAGAGAGAATGTTGAGGAAAGGGTACAGGATGCTGAAGCAGAGGGCTTTGAGTCTAAGCCATGATGGGTGAGATTTTAGGATAAGCAGTTAATAGTTCAGGTGGCCTCAGATACTAAGCGGTGATGTTTCAGTTGCTTAGGACAAAGGTGTATGAGATATTTTTTATCCTTGGTGTATCTTTCATAGCTGGATTATAGAAATCAGGTTTGTATGTAGTGTTTATAGAACAAGGGGACTAGGGAAACCTGATCGTGGCTGACACAGCCTTGACCGCCATATTTTCACTTTATCATCTCATCTCCCTTCCATGCATGAGGCACTGCAGTGGAAGTTGTCTTGATATCCTGGGAGGACAAAAGACCTTTTCTCTTGGAGTTCCCTTGTGGCACTCTAGATTGGAATCTGCCTGCCAGTGCAGGAGATACAGTTTCGATCCTTGGTCCAGAAAGATTCCACATGCCATGGAGCAGCTAAGCCTGTGCACCACAACTGCTTAACCCAAGCACTGGAGCCCACGGACCAGAACTACTGAGTTCATTGCTGCAGCTACTGAAGCCCATGCACCTAGAGTCTGTGTTCCACAGGGGAAGATGCCCCAGTGAGAATCACACACACCACAGCAAAGGGTAGCTCCCACTCATACGACTGGAGAAAGCCCGTGCAACCAAAAAATAGAGAGAGAGAGATTAAAAAAAAACTTCCTCTCAAGGCAGTTGCTTTTTAATTAACACTGCTCTTAGAGAACACAGCCACACACACCGCACTCAAAGGTGTTAGCTTGTTCCTGCACTCGGAGTCATACTACTGATATTTATGGGATGATGAGTCACTTGTATGGGCTGTTTGTTAGCAGATTCAGCAGAAGTGTGTGAATGCAGGTGTTAGTAAGCACTATCTCTTTATGGTCCAGCTGTGTGGCACATGCTCTAGGAAAGGCAAAAGGACTCAGAGACTGGCCACAAAGCGAGGAATGGTTTTGTACCTGAGTGTGTCACACATGGATTTAGTATATTTGAATTTAGTTTGGGAGTGTTACTCCTGCAGTGGTGAGAGGCCATAGGAAAAGATTTAGACCAGAAATCAGGGGCCAGGGTTGCAACCTTGAATGCTGGTCTGTTGTGAAACTAAAGACAAACTGTTTAACCCTTTGAGGAATGACAGGCTTGCTTGTAAAAGACAGAGACAGACTAGAACTGTGATTTCCATTTTGGTGGAGGATTTAAGGTTCTTTTTAGAACAGGTTGTTGCTAGGTATAGGTCCTTTCTGCAGAGAAGTGTACATCTGTGAATGCCAATATTAAGAATGCTGAACTGGGACTTCACTGGTGGTCCAGTGGTTAAGACTCCATGCTTCCAATTCAGGGGGTACAGTTTCTATACCCTGGTCAGGGAACTAAAAATCCCACATGCTATGTGGCATGGCCAAAAAGAAAAAAATTTATTTAAAAAAATTGCTGAACCAAATTATCTCAGAGATGCCTTCCATAGCCAATCCTCTCTGTCAATCTATGAAAAGAAAATAGCAAAACGACTATGTTCAGCTTTGCACTTCTGATGACATACGTCCCAACAAATCTAGCAGGACTATTAGATCATCTGACACTGGGGATTGACTTTTTCTTTTTTGCACGTTGAAGAAATTCCCTTGCTGCTTCTCAGGCTATGAAGTTGCAGATAAAGAGGGTCACCTCTGCAAAACGCATAGAATTGTTTCTCTGAGCCATTGTTCCTGTCCCCATCCATACCTTACTTTTAACCTTTTCATCTGAATCCTTCAATCTCTTTTTTCTCTAACTGTAGGAAACCTAAAGAAGAGATGAAATGGAGGATCCTATCATGTTTTAAGTGAGCTAAATAATTTTAAACTTTATATTGCCACAGTTGAATCAGAGGCCATAGAAAATAACTAGAAATTGAACAGAAATGAATATATCAAAATAACTAGAGTAGTGGTAGACAGCATTAAGAATGATTGATGAAAAATGATTCATAAGCATTTAGTTATAAAGCATGGACTTAATTTGTTAGGCTTTGCCACCTTGGCTATGATTGTACAGTAATTTTTTGAGGTATCGGAAAGTGAGAAAATAGGACCTTCAGGGTAAAACTACCATTGGCAAGGTGGGTATCACTTACAGGCTATTTCCTATATTTACTTCCTATTATTCTTTTATCACTGTTTCAGAATATAATAAAAATATATTAATTTTGTGTTACCTTGCATATACCAATTTATGACTCATTCAGATTGGCCTTCAAAAGTGAAAGATAATTTGTGGTTATAAACTGATTACTCAAAAATGTTCTTTATAGAGACACAGCTAAAGCATGCACATATTTTTTAACATATTTTAAATTTTCTGCAGTATGTTTCCAAAAAAAAAATTTAATAATGTGGTATTAGTGGTGACTAGGACTTAACGCCCCCCCCCCACTTTTTTTCTTCCATGACTACATTTTTAACAAAGTGTTTTTGAGAGGTAGAGTTGTCCGCATGGAGAATTTAATCCTAGGCAGATGGTGTGGTGCTGGAATACACATTTCCTCCAGCAGTAACTGGGAAAGAAGCCACGATTCACGGCAGTTGGAGATAGGAGCCTCTTTAAATGAAGGGATTAATTGCACACACAATGATGTATAGGAACATCCTGCATTAACACAAAAACACTTGTGTATGTCTTAAAAGACTCTCCAAGGCTTAGCTCCTTTGTTTATTCACAGGGGTGATGGGCGAATATGAACCAAAAATAGAAGTGCAGTTTCCAGAAATGGTCCCGACCGCAAAGGGAACAACGGTGAAGCTGGAATGCTTTGCATTAGGAAAGTAAGTTCTGGTTTCTCTCCTCCATTGTCCCTCCAGCTTGGGCAAGGAAAGAAATTTCTTTGCACTGTTCGCAGTAATGGTTTATGAAGTAACTGAAAAGCAAGCCAAGCCTCTCTCACTGTGATTCCATGTGTGCATCTTTGATTCTGTCCTCTCACCATGGAGAAGGGATGTGGCGTGGCATGAGAGGAGTTAGCTGCCACTGTGGACATNAACTGAAAAGCAAGCCAAGCCTCTCTCACTGTGATTCCATGTGTGCATCTTTGATTCTGTCCTCTCACCATGGAGAAGGGATGTGGCGTGGCATGAGAGGAGTTAGCTGCCACTGTGGACATGGCCACAAAGGAGAGGAGAATGGGCAGTTCTGAAAGTGTTTCATGTATTACGATACCCTGTAATGTGGAGAAGGTAATGGCACGCCACTCCAGTACTCTTGCCTGGAGAATCCCATGGATGGAGGAGCCTGGTGGGCTGCAGTCCATGGGGTTGCTAGGTGTCGGACACAAGTGAGCGATTTCACTTTTGCTTTTCACTTTCATGCATTGGAGAAGAAAATGGCAACCCACTCCAGTGCTCTTGCCTGGAGAATCCCAGGGACGGGAGAGCCTGGTGGGCTTCCGTCTGTGGGGTCGCACAGAATCGGAAACAACTGAAGCAACTTAGCAGCAGCAGCAACCTGTAACATACATGTTGTCTGACCCAGAATGACAGGAAAACAATGGCCTCATCTGAGGTACAGTGAAGTTGACTGTTTGGAAAAAGGTAGACTTTCACTTGGGTCCCAGCTTAGAGAGTGTGCATCAAACTTTTCTTGTATTTCTTTTTAAATTGAAAGTCTCTTCTTTCTAGTTTTTTGTTAAAATTTATTTTACTGAAGTATAGTTGATTTACTATGTTGTGTTAATTTTCGCCCTCTATCAGAGTGATTCATTGATGCATACATATGTTCTTTTTCATGTTGTTTTCCATTATGGTTTATCACTGGATATTGAATACAGTTCCCTGTGATATACAGTAGGACCTTGTTGTTTATCCATTCTCTATATAATTGTTTGCATCTGCTAATCCCAAACTTTCAATCCACCCCTCCCCCAGCTCTCTCCGCCTTGTCAACCATAAGACTCTTCTCTATGTTTGTGAGTCTGTTTCTGTTTCACCAGTTCAGTTCAGTCACTCAGTCATGTCTGACTCTTTGTGACCCCATGGGCTGCAGCACGCTAGGCTTCCCTGTCCATCACCAACTCCCGGAGCTTGCTCAAACTCATGTCCATCGAGTCGGTGATGCCGTCCAACCATCTCATCCTCTGTTGTCCCCTTCTCCTGCGTTCAATCTCTCCCAGCATCAGGGTCTTTTCCAATGAGTCAGGTTTTACATCAGGTAGCCAAAGTATTGGAGCTTCAGCTTCAGCATCAGTCCTTTCACTAATTATTCAGGACTGATTTCCTTTACAATTGACTGGTTTGATCTGCTTGCAGTCCAAGGGACTCTCAGATAAGTTCACTTGTGTCATATTTTATATTCCATATATAAGCAATAGCATCCTCTTTCTACTTTGGCTAGAGATTGGCAAGACCTGATATTCTCTAAGGAGTCTCTGTTTTACAGACTCATCTGAAAATTATTCACAATTTTATTATTCAATCTGTGGAGTTTTCTCAGTTAAGCCTACTTGGGAACCAGTTACATTTTCCCTAGAGTGTCTGTCAGAGGGCATAAAGAAAATGAAAAATAGATCAGTTAAGATTTTGCCGGTAACCCTGCAGAAAAGGTTTGGCATTAGTGATAAAAACTTTCACCTGAAATAAGAATTTTTAGTCATCAGTGCACTTTAATGATGCATGTGAGTCTCTGTGGCCAACCTCATTTATCCAGCTAACCCTCTGCCAACTCCTCACCCTTTTCCTGGCCCAGGTGTTGGCTAAGGCAGGGACACTAACTTTGGCTCAGCGTCTGTTTTAGCAAGGAATCTTTATTCATATCATTTTGTATTTCACAGCAACCATGCAAGAAAGTTGTTCCATTTTTTTCAATCTTATTTTTAGTTCTATAGAAAGGATTCTTTTGGTTGTCCTGTTTTTAAGTCAGGGCAGTATACCCTACAGTAGTATCTTTACTTGGGGGCCGAAAAATACAGTGCTCATTTTTTGTGTTCTGAAAACTTACTCCATTAAATAAATTATGACATAGCTGTAGGATTGAACACTGAACTGACATTAAAAGTCAAGTTGTAAAACAACATGTAAGACCTGGAAAATGCCCTTTGATCAATAAATCAAATTTATTGATCACTAAGAGACTAAAAGTAGATTGCTAAACAGTCGAAGATGGTCCCATTTTTTATTTTATATATGCTCAGTTGCTTCAGTCATGTCTGACCCTTTGTGACCCCATGGATTATAGCCTGCCAGACTTCTCTGTCCATGGGATTCTTCAGGCAAGAATACGGGAGTGGGTTGCCATGTCCTCCTCCAGGAGATGTTCCAGACCCAGGGATTGAACCCACATCTGCTGCATCTCCTGCATTGCAGGCAGATTCTTTACCACTCAGCCACCGGGGGAGCCCATTTGTATATATATATTTTAGGAAACTTAATGCACAGAAAAGATGAAAGAACGTAACTGGATGATATAGGAATGTATTTGGTGAGTTCTGCAAGGTGACACCTCGAAAAATCCATGGAGAAAGACAGCAAAATTTATGTTGTTCCCACTTTCAAAGGGAGTATGAATTAAACTCCATTCACACTACTTGAATGAAATGAATGGCACTAGAATGAAAACAAAGGACCCAAATTGGGCTCCTCCAAGTCTACACAGAAGTGTTTGGGTACACACAAGCAGATGCGGAAACACATCATCACGGCCCACTTAAGAGCAGAAAGACTACGTTTAAGAACAGTTATTTGTACTGGCACGTTGTAACTGTCTATCTCATCACATGTAAAGATACCCATAATGTACTTTTGATAGAGCCTTTTCCGTATTTTGAGTTAGTTTCTGCCTAATGAACTTAAATTCCTCTAAAACAAGTATAGTCAAGTTGATGGCTCTAATTTTTTAAATACCATCTCAGGCTTCCCAGAGCAGATTAGCAAGTCTTTAGTCTAGTTTCTTGTCTGTGTGTGTCTTTGTGAAAAATAAATAGGTAAATAATTGTATCCCCTGCTAGGAAGCCGCAACGCAAAAGCTGTGGTTAGCTCACTAAACCATTGATCTGCAGATTCAGTAATGCCCTTGCCATTTAAGATGCATTCTAACAGTTTCAGCTGCAGGATGATAGATGCCTTGAGAGTACTTAAAGTCCCCACAGGTCGCCTCTTTCCTTATCTCGCTATTTTAAGATAACTTTCCCCAAACCACCCTCCTAATGGACTGCTAGAAGCTGGTAGGGGCCCACAGAGGGTGTTCCAAGAGGCAAAAAGTGAAGCTGCCAGTTTCTTATCCACTGAGCCTTGAAACTGACACCACATCACTTCTGTCTTATTTCAAGTCATAGTAGCCACCTGGTTCAGCGGAAGGGGTTCTGGACCACATCTTAGTGGAAGGCGTTTTTAATTCTCCACACTTGATACATGGACTTTTTTAAAATTTTCACATTTATGATCTTAAACAGATGCACTGGAAAAAATGTAACAAGCATATAAAAATCTGTTTTTATTTCATTGGTAATATTGTATATTATATGGAATACCTTCTTTAAGGTTAAGAAAGGTTATTTGATTTTAAGGGCTTCCCTGGTGGCTCGGCTGGTAAAGAATCTGCCTGCAATGGGGGAGACCTGGGTTCAATCCCTAAAGAAAACACAGAGTACATAATATTACTAGAGCTGTATTGCTGAAATCATAATAGTGATACATGAATAAATGACTTTTGGGGAACACTGTCTAGTGCCAGCTGTATAATGTTTGGAGCCAAGAAGAAAGGGATTGTAACAAGCATAGATTCAAATAAAAGAAAGTTTCTCTAACATGATTCACTCCCTTTTTTTCTTGCTAAAAAAGTGAAGCTGCCAGTTTCTTATCCACTGAGCCTTGAAACTGACACCACATCACTTCTGTCTTATTTCAAGTCATAGTAGCCACCTGGTTCAGCGGAAGGGGTTCTGGACCACATCTTAGTGGAAGGCGTTTTTAATTCTCCACACTTGTACATGGACTTTTTAAAAATTTTCACATTTATGATCTTAAACAGATGCACTGGAAAAAACGTAACAAGCATATAAAAATCTGTTTTTATTTCATTGGTAATATTGTATATTATATGGAATACCTTCTTTAAGGTTAAGAAAGGTTATTTAATTTTAAGGGCTTCCCTGGTGGCTCGGCTGGTAAAGAATCTGCCTGCAATGGGGGAGACCTGGGTTCAATCCCTAAAGAAAACACAGAGTACATAATATTACTAGAGCTGTATTGCTGAAATCATAATAGTGATACATGAATAAATGACTTTTGGGGAACACTGTCTAGTGCCAGCTGTATAATGTTTGGAGCCAAGAAGAAAGGGATTGTAACAAGCATAGATTCAAATAAAAGAAAGTTTCTCTAACATGATTCACTCCCTTTTTTTCTTGCTACCAGTCCAGTACCAACTATTATCTGGAGAAGAGTTGATGGAAAGCCGATAGCAACCAAAGCCAGAAAACACAAGTCAAATGGGATTCTTGAAATCCCCAATTTTCAGCAGGAGGATGCTGGCTTGTATGAATGCGTGGCTGAGAATTCAAGAGGGAAAAACGTAGCAAAAGGACAGTTGACTTTCTATGGTAAGGTAGTGATTCCAGTTTATCATTTGTTGACCTTCTTGGTATTAAAACCCATAAGCTAGGAGATTTTCATTCACGGTTCTTCAGAAGGATTGTTCAAAATACCATTGTGTGAAACCCTGTTTGCTGCCTAATTATCACCCCCTGGGTTGCTCTGGGTGGGGAAGGGGAGGGTGGGGGCAGTGGTGTGGAGACAGCAGAGGGGAGGATACAGGCTGATGTGTTGAGGGATGGATGTTAGTGTGAACACACTCACAAAGGACCTATTTTTCCTGCTGCCGTCAAGCTGCAAACCTGACAAGGGAAATGTTTTGTTATCCCTCCTCCTGATTTATTTATTTATTTCTAAAGCTCTCCGCTTTTCTTCATTCAAATTTTGACTTGGAGCTCGTGTTAATCCCTGGTAATTGCTCCTATTTGGTAGAGATTTAATGTGGTACCACGAACATTTCAAAATGCATGCTGTCCAAATTTAGTTCTTATCAGAGTGGAGCGTGACAAATCTCTCTCACCCCACAGACTCTTTCTGTGCAGCTGCTCCTATTTCAATCAAATCATCGGCATTGATCCAAACAGAACACAAATGTAAAGCCTCTAACACATGGTCATCCATTGAGCCTGTCTTGGAAACCCAGTTAGGATATCAGTTTGGAATCAAGAAAGGGATTTCACTGGATAGGCAGTTTGAAATCAAATTGAGTTCTCCCAAGTTGGAACATACCTGAATCCCATGGAGTGTTGAAAATAAATATTATAGATTGATAATTATTTAAGAATGGCTTAGGTGAACAACAGTGTATATTAAAGGGATAAGAGCAGTTCTTTAGGGGCAAGTTGTAGCAAAGACTTTAAACCTTCTGATGTCTTACAACAACTGATATACCACAAAAGTCTATTTATATCATCAGATCTTCTTCCAGAGCACTTTGGATTTCAGATATGGGGGAAAGATTTTGTTCAGTAGTCGTGTAAGATTTTTTAGAAGCATGATTGGAAATTGGATGGAGCTTTTGAATATCAGCTAGCCTTCAGCAACCTCCCCATCTGGCATTTTGGACTCGTACCTGACGTTGCCCAAGGGATAAAAGAATACACATGATGTTAGGCAGTCCTTCACATGATGACTTGAGTACCAATTGTTTAAATAAATATGCACCTTTTAAAAATCACCCGTCTTCCTTCAACAATACTAAAAGATCAACTCTACTCATGCCAAATGACAGACCTGATGCTTGATCTTTGCTCTTTCATAAACTATGATGGTTGACACCTTATTTGATTGGTTGAAAAGCAGAAGACATCACATTTCATTGCTAGAAAAACTTAAGACTGAAGGTTACAGATTTGTTCAGTGAGATGCAATCACTGTCTTTTTTTAAGTGTTTAGGGTACATTTTTCTCATTAGTGTAATAATCATTTCTCCTACATCAAGTAGGAACAACTTGAAAATGTTCAGGTAAATGGCCTGTGTTTTCCTTTTTCAATTAGTTAGATTGATTTTTCCTTTCAGTAGTTGTGATCCCTAAATGTTAGTTGTGTTGCTCAGTTAATTGAAGTAATTTTTCACTTTTATGGTTTTCTTTGAAGTGAAATACCTGTTTTTCAGTATATTAAATATGTAGGAAATATTCTGTCACCAGGAGTTGGCATAGTGCTTTCTAGTAGGTCATAAGTTTCCTACACTGGAAACAGAAGATTCCAGAGTTAGTCTTCTGGAGAATCAACCTTATCAATAACCTTCTGGAGAAACAATGAAAGGTTTTCTGGGACCCAGCCTTGGAGATGAAAATCTGATGCTAACAGCGTTTCCCTTTTAAATGAAGTCATCTGCATTCATCCATGGGAAAAAAAGCCAAATGTTTTCTGAAGATAACTCATTTTCCTCCGTTGTCAACCACCCTAGGTGTTAGAAGCTTGTCAGATCAGTTGACTTCATGATGCTGAGCTGTTGCATCTTTTTTATCCTTTTGTTTTCCCTCAACTAACATATCAGTGACACGGAAATTATCGAATTGTTTTCATTGTCACAGGAGAGCTTAATTATGCAAAAGTGCTTGGCTGTCATTTTTTTTTTTTCTTTGTGGTTTCTGTTGGGTTTTCTCAATACAGTGTTCCCAATATCCAGCTGCCTAGATCTCCAATTTAAATGAGTTTTTATAATTAAAATCACCATATATATTTCACAAAAGGGGAGAAAGTAGCCCCAGTTCCTTATCCATGAACATGCTCTGTTTGTGGACAAGAGAATGTCTGACAACGTTAAGATGTGCTGTGCTTGGGGACGATAAACCTTGGGTTTCAGCTTAGAGACCTGCTTGTCCTTTTTGGTTCCAAGTTGCTGTATCCCATTCATCCACTCTTCACTTGGGAAACCAGACAGGCGTGCTCACTTCTGTTCTGGCCTGACAAAATGGCAATTTTCTGATCCCACACTGAAACCATTTAACCGTCCTCCGAAGGCCTGCTGAGCGTGGTTTCCTTGGCCCTGCATTCCCTCTGTAAGCGTCATAGGAGCCTGTGTTCCTGGCTGGGGTGTTTCCACTGTGATGATGTCTTTAGTTTAGCGTGTGCTACTCATGTTTGGGAAGAATTGAAGCTCATTCAAACACGAACATCTTTACCCATCTCCATCTTCCCGAGTTAGTTAAGCCATGACCTGAACTTGTCTGTGTGGTTTAATCTGCTCTTTCAGGTATTTTTCAGTGTTAAAAAACTTACTAAAATAGATGTTATATTTTCAAGGGTACTTTCCTACAAATCTTTATCGCTTAAAGGTTGACATCTTCTAAAATGACTATAATATATTACTAATTTGCTCAAATATTTTTTTTTTATTGCCTACCAGGTAGCAGAGCATTAGATGCTTAGGACTATAAGACAAATCCCTGTCTTCAAGGAGCTTTTCTTTCACTAGGAGCAGACAGGCAATTCACTATTATGCAAATAAATGAACTAGAAAATTTCATAAAGTGATAAGAGTTATGAAGAAGGTGATTAGGATGATACGATAGCAAGTAACTAGGAGCAGAAGAAGGACTTCCCTGATAGCTCAGTTGGTAAAGAATCTACCTGCAATGCAGGAGACCCCAGTTTGATTCCTAAATCAGGAAGACCCACTGGAGAAGGGATAGGCTACTTACTCCAGTATTCTTGGGTTTCCCTTGTGGCTCAGCTGGTTAAGAATCCGCCTGCAATGTGGGAGACCTGGGTTCGAAGATCCCAGGAGAAGGGAAAGGCTACCTGGAGAAGATCCCCTGGAGAAGGGAAAGGCTACCCCCTCCAATATTCTGGCCTGGAGAATTCCATGGACTGTATAGTCCATGGGGGTCACAAAGAGCTGGACACAACTGAGCGACTTTCACTTTCACTTTTCAGGAACAGAAGAAAGACTTCATAAGATAAGTCAGTCAGGAAAGACTTGTCTGAGATTTGACTTCTGAACTGAAACCTAAAGGGTGAAAAAGAGCCATGCTTTCAAAGGGTAGTGCTTTCCAGGCAGAAAGTAAGGAAGTGCAGAGGCCCCGAGGCAGAAGACTACTTAACAAGTGTGAGGTGCAGGCAGAAGACTACTTAACAAGTGTGAGGTGCATCAAGGAAGCCAGCGTGGCTAAGTCCTAGTGAGAAAGAATAAAGGGTTTGGAAACAGAGGGAGGGGCAGATTAGGCAGTACTTTGTAAGCCAAGCACTAAGTTTGGGTTTTATTCTGATAATGGGAAGCCACTGTGAGATTTTAAATGGGGAATGACTCGATTGTATTCATGCTTTTAAAAGATCACTCTGGTTGTTCTGTGGTGATTAGATTATAGGGAACCAAGAGTAAAAGCAGGATAAGCAGTCAGAAAGCCAACCAGGTGAGAAATGATGATGGCTAGGAAGCAAAGAATAAAAATAAATGGAGACTTGACATGTATTTTGGACTTAGAACCAGTAAGACACTTTTTTGTCATTCCTACACTTAGCCATTTTCTAGATAAGGAAACTGCTTTCCAAAGAGGTATTCATGTTACTGATTGAAGCTACATAGTAAGCAGAGTGAGTGATAGTCGCTCAGTCGTGTCCGACTCTTTGTGACCCCATGGACTGTAGCCTGCTAGGCTCCTCTGTCAGTGGAATTATCCAGGCAAGAGTACTGGAGTGGGTTGCCATCTCCTTCTCCAGGGGATCTTACCGACGCAGGGATGGAACTCCGGTCTCCTGCATTGCATCTGAGCCACCAGGGGAGCCCATAGTAAGCAGAGCTAGGTTCCAGATGCTATGCCTGTTCTTTCATGCTGGAAGTTCTCAAGCTTCAGAGTGCAGTTAGAATAATCTGAAAATTTTATTAAAGTACAGAATACTGGGTTCTACTCCCCAGAAGTTCTGATTTTGTCGGGCTAGCGTGGGAACCAAGAATTTGCATTCCTATGAAGTTTCCCGGTTGTGCTGATGCTGCTTGTTTGAGTCCACAGTGCAAAAGCCATTGCTCTTGTGCTGGGTTGTTTCCAGGTGGTAGAGTGAAGCCTAAGAATAAATGACTGCAAATAAAGGTGTTCCTGCTTCCCCTGAAAGCTCGCAGACTTCTGTCACATCAAGTGTTATGACCCGTCTACATAGACACAGTGGAAGGAGGATGCTACAGTAATTATCTTTGAAAAAAGGAGAGGGAGGTATAAAATGGATTTAATTCACTTGATAATTATTCATCTTTCCACCTCATTATGTCTGTAGAATTCCTTTTTGCACAAATAGACCAGTGGAATAACAGTCATCATTTAGAAAAATGAAGCATGAGCTAAATTTCCTGATATTTAATGCCTTTGTACAATTTCTCCTAGATGTAACAAGTGTTAAGAGAGTAAAGTCATTTCCTCCATGAGAAAATAGGGAATATAATATTCAAGCAGTGAACAAGACTGTTTTTCAATGAATCTATGATGTTTAAGCTGGAAGGATCTGTTGGAGCCAACTCTTTGATTTTTACAAAGTTAGAAATAAAGACCCAGAGACATAAAATAACTTACCCAAGATGATAGAATGAGTGAGAATCAGAGATCTCATTAGACCTGTTCTGTGTTCTTTGTCTTGCCAGTAAGACGTTTTCACTAAATAGGTAAAGAGGAAAAAAATCCATCAGTCATTCAGATACTTTATCTGCTTGTTTTCCACAACCAAAGTCATAAATGAAAACATCCAAGTGAACAATTGACTTTTTCAATTCCTCTTTTCTAAGGAAGTGACTTATAATCACCTGATTACTGAGCCAAAAACAGCTCTTTTTATTTCCCTTTCCAATTTACATCTATGGCTGTATGTCAAGACCTTGTGGGCTATGGGCCTTTGGCTCTAAAGGCAAAACTGTGGGCTTCATGACCCTGCAAATGGTATGGGAGGATATCTAGTGTCAGAATATAGAAGCATCATGTAGTATGGTGTACTAATTTCCCCATAGATATGCTATGTATGTGAGATCACTAGCTAATATTCAGTCTCACAAAGTGGCTTAAAGGATAGAATGACCAAAAGAATGAACACAGCAGATGAGATAATTTTGCACTTAAGCAAGACTCTGCCTGATTGTCCCAAACAGAACTGATACCAAGACCCTTAATATCCTTGAGTATAGCTTAAGATAGATTCATCTTCTCTAAGACTGTGTAAGCAACCAGAAATAATTCTGAATGGCTGCAGGTAATTGTTCTAATAGCAACTTAAATTATTTTCCCCCATTTTATCTTTTCTTTTTTTCCCTAAGGGCTAAGGCTCTTGATGGCTTTTCTTTCTATTAGAAATTTCTAATTTTGGACAGTCAGAGAGCCAGATACCTCTGAGAACTGTTTGACCACTAAAGTCAAATTATATCTGTCTGCAATATAAATTGTTATTGGACAAGATGTTTACATGATCCCAGTGGCTGGATTATGCATCGGCTTAGGTCATTTCTGGCAGTTGTTGAACAAAAGATTGGAATGAAGAGCTTGTTCATTTATGCAAGAGACTAACAATGTCATAGAGTCAAGTAAAACACAATCATTTAACCTTGTATTTGAATTTGTATCTTGAAAACAAGACTAAAGATTCGCTTTAGAGGAGAGATTCTTCTATTCAAACCTTGAAAGAATATAAATGGCCAAAACAGATGGTTCTGTTTTAATATGTGAGTATGATTAATTCTGTTTAGTATTTGGGATCTACATATATATAATGCCCAAAAAGCATTTAGACATAAACTTCTTTTTGAAATAATAGGGCTGAATTAACCTGTTCAAGCCTTCCATGGAGCTATTTTTTTAGACATGGTGTTTTCAAAAGAACCTAGGTATTAAGTGATAAATACCACGGACCCACATACACTATCCAAAAAACAGTTAAAGGAAACAATATTTTCTCTTATGCACTAAAGTGGACCATTTGTTATCCAAAGACTTTGAACTCGGTGACCCAAAGAGATATGTAGATATATGAACAATTTCCATCAGGTACAAAACTATTCTATTACAAAAAAACTCACTCACTTAGATAAGATTCATCCAATCTAAGTGAGTGGCAGGAGAAACCTTCACTGTGTGAGTTTTTGCCCTGTAGATCTGCAATTGGCATGTTAAAAGAAAGATTACCTCATCCTTTGCCATATATATAATACAGTATTCCATTCTCAATCCCTGTGGGCCCCTGTCCATATATTGACTTCAAGAGGAATGTGTTTATATCATTTCAAATTTAGCTCCTATGAATTCATTTTACTGCAGGAGGAGTAGATTTTTGTCCTTCAAATCTGGTTTCTGAGAATTAATTTTACTTTAAAAAAAAAAAAAGGAAAGTATCTGACGATGTCTCACAAAGACTGAATTTGCTGTTGATTTCACCTTGACCAGCACAAACCACTACCATTGAACATTCTTGTTGAGCACCTTAACCTCTGTAACCCTTTTCGAAGAGACAGAATGAGTGCTCAGAAGGGTTTAATTAGTTAGAAGTTTGCAAGGGCTTTTCAAAATCCTCTCAAGGCCCTCCTTTCCCTTCTCTTCTTCCTATCCTTTTTGAGATTGCAAGGTTGTGTTTCCAGCTTTCTGTGTTTTTGAAAGAAAGCCATGAATAAGCCCAAGAGTTACAGGAAATCTATGACATTGAAATCTCTGTCTCTGCATGTGGTTTTGATGTTTCCTTTTTGAACTTCAACTTGACATTGCTTCATAAGTTACATTTGCCCTTCCATTTTTTTTTTCTTCCTCACTCTCTTTGAAAAGTTTGGCTTCGTTGTTAATATTCCACACAGATTTCTATAGTTTTTCTTGTTTGCTTTGTTTTCATAGACCCTGTGGGGGGTAAATATTCAGCAGGTTGCATGTGAAATCAGGCACACAACTGCCATTAGCCTCATCAGTGTTGCACATCAAATTCTCCAGACAGAGAACTGAAAAGGTACTGTCTACCATCTGAGCTCCCTTTGCAGAGCAGCAGGAAGATAAAGAACAATGACAGACTTGCAGCTCCTTCAAGGATGAAGGTTACAACCCTGCGTTCAAGTTAATGCTTCTTGATGTTATAACTTGTTTTGAAAGCTGACCCTTTCAGCCTTTTGAAACAATGCATCATCCCCATCAGTAGAAGATTTGTAAAATTGTGTTTTGCTCTTTGAAAAACAGGAGATTTGCTTATAGATGGATAAAAGGAGAAAGTAACATTTATTCAGAGACCTAGGGACCTCTGCTGGTTAAGTGAGTTGTTTTTCCAGTTTTTCTTTTTTTTTTTTTTTTCATTGTTGAGAAGATAAGCTTGAGCGCAGCACTAGTCATTTCCTTTTGAATTAAATTATGAATGATTGGTAACCTCATTGAATAAAGATACTGAGGTCAAGTCAGCTAAGAGATATGTTAAGAATACTGAGTAGCATCTTCTAATTAAATACTAATACCAGTTCTAACTATTGGGTTCCAGTTGGTAGGCATTATCCTATGCAAGTGCACAGTGCGAAGATACATTCCAGAATGACTACACTTTGCTTCTTCACTTTGGGCTGAAGGTTTTCTGCCTAATTACGTGTGCTATTATAGTTTACCAATAGCATGAATTGTGCTTTAAGGAAGGCTTGATATATATGAAGACTTTTTAGGGAATGTGGGTTAGCACTGTCTTTATTACCCTTAGGAACGAGGAGAGAAAATGGGACTTTATTTGAAGCATGAGAAATGAGGCACAATTTTGGTGGTAGAAAGGAGTGGTACGGCATTCCCCAGCATCTTTAGCAACAGGGATGAGTTTCACAGAAGACAATTTTTTCACAGTCCAGGGGTGGGAGGATAGTTTCAGGATGATTTGAGTGCATCACACTTATCATGCACTTTATTTCTATTATTATATCATCTCCCCCTCAAATCATCAGGCATTAGATCCCGGAGAGTTGGGGACCCTTGGAGTATGGCATTGGGCAGTGTGGGAACTGAGTGCAGCCTTGAATTCCTGTGTTAGGCAGGGCAGGAGTCAGTTCCTTAAGAAGGTTTGTGAAAACCAGGGCTCATTCAGAGATTTGGAATTGCAAGGCCATATGCTAACAGAAAATTTTCTATCAACGTGAAAAAAAGGTAATAATAGAAAATGATGATAGTCTTGAAGGAAAAAGGAGTCACAAAAATTATTTATATGATGCGTGTGAGAGACACACAGAAATATAATGGCTAAAAGAAGAAGTTTCTTTCCTTCACACAAATCTCTCCAAAAATAGGCATGTGGGTCTGGGGTTGCTTTATTCCAGATGATCATTCAAGGTCAGCATCTTCATCCTTCATAGCTTCATCTATGAGCCCAAGGCTATTTCACTTGTCATTTTCTAATCAGTGAGAGAGAAAAGTGAGAATCCAGGGTTGGTATCTTTAAGTCAGTAACCTGGAGGTTGCCCTCATCACTTCCACACACATACCACATATCATTGGTATGAACCTCATTCATACCAATTACCAATTAACCTCTAGATGCAAACGAATCTGGGAAGTACAGTGCGTAGCTAGGAAAACATGAGCCCAGCCTAAAGTAACAAGAGTGGTGGTGGGAGATTCCTTTTATTAAAAGGAAAAAATGAATAGATATTTGGGAGGAGGAGCAGTTAATTTTACCCTATGACTCGTGATAGTTTTGCTCATTTTGCCTTTAGTGATGGAAAAAACAGCCAGATAGGCTGCAAAAACAGTACATTCAGAGTTGGACATGAGGTGGGGTATTTTATTCTAAAAATACCCACTGAACTTCTCCCCAGCTTTGTAATTGGCATAACTTCTGGAAAATTAATTTTATCATAAACCCTTTTCTGTCCCTTGATTGCATATGACAAACATTAGTTGAACGTGCACTGAATGTATGTCTTTGCTTTGTGAACTGCTGTAGCTCAACCGAGTTGGAGTCAAAAAATAAATGACATCCATGTGGCCATTGAAGAAAACGTCTTCTGGGAATGTAAAGCCAATGGAAGGCCCAAGCCTACATACAGGTGGCTGAAAAATGGCGAACCACTGTTAACTCGGGTAAGCAAATGAATGATAATTGTGTCTTAATATTGACTTCAATGTGGCGTGTGGTCTTGTTGCTATGGAAACAGAAAAATGACCAATTGTTCCAAAATTATATGTAAAGAAATGCCATTAATAGTGGAACAAGTGAATGTGGTTGATAGGAACTGTACATAAATCCAATTCTCCAGCATTGCTCAGCCTTGTTAAACATTCTTTGGTCTTCAGAGATTAGCGTTACTGGCTTTACAATTGGAGAGTTATGCTGAAGGTCTAGATCATGTAATTGTGCTAAGATACAAGTTTGCATGTACAGGTGAGTGTGTAAGACTCTCAGCATCCAGTTCTCCCCTTCAGTGTGGTTTTATATTGTCTTCTGTCTGGGAAGACTAATGAACAGCACAGTCCAGTACATTGACCAGCAAAATGTTCACTGTGCCTCAGACATGTAGCAGTGGCATGTGCAAACTCGAGACTGACATCTCTTAAAGGAACAGAAGTGAAAGAACAACTAAAAGTGATGAGCAAAGTGGGAGGCACCAGTCTGTAGGCCCTGAAGCATGCAGTAGTAGCTGAAAGCTCAGATATTAAAAATCCTCTTTGGAGACCAGGTTGCAGTATCCCTGTAGCTAAGGCTTAAGTGAAAAAGCAGCCAAACTGCTGCCTGGCTTAACAGGACTCTGTGATGTGAGAGACGTAGAAGGTACCAGGCTGCGCCTCCTACTGGCTCTGGGCGGAACTGCAGTAGCCTCAGCATCCTCGCAGATCCCGGGACCGAGAGAAGCCATGAGTCTGGTTATTTCTGGACCAGCAAGCCCAGGGAAGGGCTTCCCTGATAGCTCAGCTGGTAAAGAATCCATCTGCATTGCAGAAGACCCCAGTTTGATTCCTGGGTCAGGAAGATTCCCCTGGAGAAGGGATAATGTACCCACTGCAGGGCTTCCCTGGTGGCTCAGCTGGTAAAGAATCTGCCTGGAATGCAGGAGACCTGGGTTTGTTCCCTGGGTTGGGAAGATTCCCCTGGAGAAGGCCATGGCAACCCACTCCAGTATTCTTGCCTGGAAAATCCCATGGACAGAGGAGCCTGGAGGACTGCAGTCCATGGGATCACAAAGAGTTGGACATGACTGAGTAGCTAAGCACACAGCCCAGGAGGTGAGGTGGAGGTGGCCACCCAGTCTGTTAGGTGGATGGAAAGACAGACAAAAATAGCTCCTTTTCAAAGTATGCCTGCACACCGATACTCCAAATCATATGCAAAAAAAAAATTTTTTTTAGAAAGGTAACTAACCTGGAGAGCAGTCTAACAAAGAAATCTGAATAACCTTGTCAAGAAGACTCAAAGAGATAGGAATCATGCCTATAAAAATAAATGAGGTGGAGGGACCTTAGAATGAGGAACAACTGTGTCCAGTTTAATTTTCCTTATATATTTTCCCACTGAATTCAAATTTTTGCTGAAATATGACATTTTCCCCAGACCCCAATTTGAGAGCCAGTTTCTTGTGCTCTGGTTTCCTCCCCCATCAGCCCCCAGGCAAGAACAACCACTCTGAGCGCTGGTCAGGATATAGCCCTCACAGCCACAGAAACAGGCAGAAATAACAAGCCTAGTCCACACTGTGCTGCCCACACCTCCTCCTGTCACTGCAGGGCTCCTGCTGGTCCCATGACTCAATTCTAAAGGCCAGCCTCAAATCACTTGAGTGTAGGTGCCCAGGTAACTGGCATTTTCCTTCCTCTATTTAAGGTGAGGGGTCATGGATGCCAGGCAGCTAAATCACAACCCTACGGCAAACAGGAAATATTTTACTTTTTAAATGGCAGGTCTCTTGGAGAAGAGGAGGTCCTTTAGGGTACTTATAAAAATTGACGCCTCAAGTTATGTAGCCTCAGACTGATGAATGAGGATGGTCTATGGTTTGATACACTCACTTTGCTGTCTTCAGACTGGCTACCAGCTGATGGTCCTATGCTTAGATCATGCCACCAACAGCAGTCAAGTAACAGAACATTAAATTATCAATACTTATTCTTTATTCTTAGTAAACTTCAGCAACATTAAATATGTGTTTCTGCTTCATCCAAGAAGAGTACAGTCCTTTTAGCCCTCAAAGTGTTGCCTGCTCATAATTTGAGTGTTTTAACTACTCTAAACAGTAAATTTCCTTGTATTTCCCACTCCTCACCCCCAGTTAGCACAAAGCCTTGGAGTAAAAAAAAAAAGCATTTTAAATTTAAAGTTCATCTGTTTAGAGGGGATATTAATCTGGGTGGTTTCACTATTAAATCAATGATAACTCAACAGAGTCCTATAATTTAAATTCCATTTACCAACTGATATATGGGTTGTTTCATTTAGCAACTGACCCGCCACAAGTTTAGTTGACAGATAAATAGCTCATGTTATGTAAATTGTTTATATGATGGCAATTTTCCTCCCATTAAGCCTCTTTGATATATAACATGTAGCAAAGATGCCTTAAGGTCTCAGTTATAGAAGGTCATTGTTTTGTGTTCCTCTTTTCTTTCACAGGATAGAATTCATATCGAGCAAGGAACACTCAACATAACAATAGTGAACCTCTCAGATGCTGGCATGTATCAGTGTGTGGCAGAGAATAAACACGGAGTTATCTTTTCCAGCGCAGAGCTTAGTGTGATAGGTGAGTCTTTATACTGGAAAGAACAAAAACGTAAAAGCTTTTGAAATCACTAAACTAACATATGCTTTGCCAAGCATAAATATTCCATCCAAGAAAAAAAGGGTGAAGAAATCTTTAGACTGAAGATATCTCTTGAGAAAGAAGCAGTACATTCTACAAGCAGTAAGAGGAGACCACTTTCTAGATCAGCTTCTTCTGATGCTTGCAATGGGTGATGCAGTTCTCCTGGCATGCATTTTTATTCCTCTATCAACCCCTCTTCTAAACTATGCAAAGTTTCTGAAATGTGTTGGTGTCTGTTGCTTTCTCTCTGGTTGGGTGTAAACTTGAGCTTGGAGAGAGGAAGAGCTGCCTTAGGTGGACAGGTTTGTTTGAATGTCAGGCAGAGTGCATTTTGTTTTTTCACATCTAAATTTTCCCGACGATACACTATGGACTGCCCCTCCAGCTCCATCTTTCAACACATGCCCCTTTCCTTCTGTTCTTCAGCAGCACTGAGCTTTCTGAGCTGCTTGTTCACCACCTTCTCTTCCTCCACAGTCCACTGGTCCACACTGTTCCCTCTGCCTCAAATGCTTTTCTGTCCCCTCTTCATTTCATTTACTTCTTCCCAACTCAGAATTGATTACATTCTTTGCAGACAAAGTTGGAGAAGCTCTATAGAGTCAGCAAAAACAAGGCCAGGAGCTGACTGTGGCTCAGATCATGAACTTCTTATTGCAAAATTCAGAATTAAACTGAAGAAAGTAGGGAAAACCACTAGGCCATTCAGGTATGACCTAAATCAAATCCCTTACAGTGGAAGTGACAAATAGATTCAAGGGATTAGATCTGATAGAGTACCTGAAGATCTATGAACGGAGATCCGTGACATTGTACAGGAGACAGTGATCAAGACCATCTCCAAGAAAAAGACATGCAAAGAGGCAAAATAGTTGTCTGAGGAGGCCTTCCAAATAGCTGAGAAAATAAGAGAAGCTAAAGGCAAAGGAGAAAAGTAAAGATATACCAATTTGAATGCAGAGTTCCAAAGAATAGCAGGGAGACATAAGAAACACTTCCTCAGTGATCAGTGCAAAGCAATACAGGAAAACAATAGAATTGGAAAGACTAGAGATCTTGTCAAGAAAATTACAGATACAGAGGAAACATTTCATGCAAAGATGGGCATAATAAAGGACAGAAATGGTATGGACCTAACAGAAGCAGAAGATATTAAGAAGAGGTGGCAAGAATGCACAGAAGAAGTATACAAAAAAGATCTTCATGACCCAGATAACTGATAGTGTGATCACTCACGTAGAGCCAGACATCCTAGAATGTGAACTCAAGTGGGCCATAGGAAGCATCATTACAAACAAAGCTAGTGGAGGTGAAAGAATTCCAGTTGTGCTATTTCAAATCCTAAAAGATGATGCTATGAAAGTGCTTCACTCAATATGCCAGAAAATTTGGAAAACTTAGAAGTGGCCACAGGGCTGGAAAGGGTTTCATTCCAATCCCAAAGTAAGGCAATGCCAAAGAATTTTCAAACTACCATACAATTGCACTCATCTCACACACTAGTAAAGTAATGCTCAAAATTCTCCAAACCAGGCTTCAATAGTACATGAACTGTTAACCTCCAGATGTTCAAGCCAGATTTAGAAAAGGCAGAGGAACCAAAGATCAAACTGCCAACATCCATTGGATCATTGAAAAACCAAGAGATTTGAAAAATCTCTTGCTTTATTGACTTTAAAAACATCTGCTTTATTGACTATGCCAAAGCTTTTGACTGTGTGAATCACAACAAACTGTGGAAAATTCTTCAAGAGATGGGAATACCAGACCACCTGACCTGCCTCCTGAGAAATCTGTATGCAGGTCAGGGAGCAAGAGTTAAAACTGGACATGGAACAATAGACTGGTTCCAAATAGAGAAAGGAGTATGTCAAGGCTGTATTTTGTCACCCTGCTTATTNCTGGGACAGGTTTAAAGGCAGGAAGAGAAGGGAATGACAGAGGATGAGATAGTTGGATGGCATCACTGACTTGATGGTCGTGAGTTTGAGCAAGCTTCAGGAGTTGGTGATGGACGGGGAAGCCTGGCGTGCTGCAGTCCATGTGGTCACAAAGAGTCAGACACGACTGAGTGACTGAACTAAACTGAACTGAACTGAGGCTGCCTCTCCCAACTCCATCTTGGCTTACTTAGGAAGCTGCTGTTACAATTTTCATCCTGCCTTTTAATGCACCTTGATATCATGCTGCATTTACATTTTACATTTGCTAATGTGATTTCTCTGTCTTTTTCTCTCACTGCACTTTTAACTTCCCCGTGATGTCCGTGACCATACTTGGTTTCACTCATTTGATCGTCAGGACTTAATGCGATATTGAAGCGTGTAGTATGCACTCAATAAATATTGAATGAATGTAAGAATGAATGACCGCACTAAGTGATGAAGGAGTTGAGAGACTGTTTTAAAAAATGGATTAATGAGTGAAGTAAATCTTTGAATTAACAAAGCTCTAGGCATTAAAAAAAAAAACAAACCCCAGATCATCAACTTGCATTTGTCTTATAGAAAAATCTTTACTCTCACTTCAGAATTTATCTTAAACTTCTAAGTGGCAGTTCTTCTTGGAGCATAATAGAAAGGTTATAAATAAGAGAAAAACAACACACACAGAGAGCTGATTCCATAAGTCCTGATCATTTGCCCAGATTCGGAGTCCTGACTTGCCCTTCTGCAGAGAACTTCTTGGTGCCTGGCTTGTGGATCTGAAATGGATTAAGTAGATGCTCCTGAGTTGAATGCTAGTCCACCCATGCAAGGTAAAAAAGAAAGGAGCTGCTTCCATAATTGTTGTCCTCGCCAGCTTCTTTACCTGAACCAACACCCAATCAAGATAAGAAATTTTGAGGATTCATGAGGTTGCAGTCTTTTTCAAAGAGGCCTCAGAGGATTCTGTGCTCTTGGAGTCAACATCAGTGTGGCTGTTGTAAGGATGACCCCCGCATACATACCTTCCCCACTATAAATGTTAAGAATGATAATTCCAGCTTCCCAGGATGAGTACAATGGTCCCACCCTGGCCAAGTGGGCTCTGATTGTTGGTAGTTGGAGCTGACTGTTGTGGAGCACAGATCACAAAAGTAGATCACTAGAATGTTATGTAGAAAGAAGTGTATTATTTGTTAAACATAGTGTCAACTGGTTAGAAAACAGCTACAATGGAGGGTGTGTGCCCTCAGGAATGAATCACATTGTCTTTAGACCCTCCAGGCGAAAGCTGTCCAGTTTAAAAGTCTGGGGATGCCATTATAATTATAAAAGATTTTGTAGGTCCTTTTGTTAAAATAAGAAAATTAGATAGCAACAAATGACTGGAAATCACGGGATATAATCTAGGAGTAAAAATAGAGGATGACTACAGTCCCAAAAGCAGAGCCTGAAGTGAGAAAGGCTATTAAATGATTTTTTTCTAGAGCACTTACCCAGAGAGGAGCATAACAGTACAGTTGCAAAGAGTTGTACACAACTGAGCGACTGAACGGCAACAATAATAAGATGTGTGTGTGTGTGTGTACATCCATCTCCAGATATCCGTATCTGTATCCATGTGCACACTAAGTCACTTCAGTTGTGTCCAGCTCTTTGCGATCCTGTGCACTGAAGCTTGCCAGGCTCCTCTGTCCATGGGATTCTCCAGGCAGGAATACTGGAGTGGGTTGCCGTGTCTCCTCCACGAGGTCTTCCTGACCCAGGGATCAAATCTGTGTCTCTTATGTCTCTTGCATTGTCAGGCAGGTTCTTTATCACTAGCACCACCTGGGAAGGCCAATTTATATCTGTATCTATATATCTATCTGATATGCATATCCTAGGATCCTCACCAGATCCTTTCTCTTCCCCCTACCAAGGGTTCAAGGCCTTTGAGGTGATAATCACTGATTCAACGCTTACATTCAGGGGTTTATTTCAAGTCATTTTCAGTTAGAACTAATTCCATTTGAATTCTTGGGCTGAGTCCTTTCTTAATTCCCTTGAGATCAGTAAGCAAGATCAGAAAAGATGAAAATGCCTGAGAAGTTATTTAACCCTCCCTCCCTAATCTCAGCTTTATTGAGTGTAAGAACTTAAGGCATGCCAGTAAATGATTCAGTTTCAAACAAGTGGTACAAATAGTAAGTCTTCCAGAAATTCTGGAAAGAGAGTTTGACCAGTGGACTGAGATAGTCAGGTGAACCTTGAAAAATAATTTATATTTATACAGGCAAAAGGAAAAAAAGAACCAGGAACAATGCAGAGTGAAAAGACCTGAACAAAAGTTATAAAACATAGAAAATCCTGAATGTTTCTCAGAAATTTTAATTCAAATACATTAAGTGTATCAGCGAAGTTGAAGAAGAAGATGGAAAAATTAATTAAGGGCCAATTTTGGAAGATATTGAACAAGCTTAGAAGTTCTCTATTTAATATCCCATTTTTCCTGCCCCAGAAAATCACACTAGTATATTCCAAGTGAATTAAAGGGCAGTTAAGTATTGAATGAGTAAATCCCTAGAGTTCTTATTAAATGAATGAAGGAGAAGACATTTGATTATTTAAGAATACACATATGTGAATATTGGTTGAGTAAGCTTTAATACAATTGTGTTTCACAAGTCACTTTGTTTCTTGCTGGGTGGTAATAGTTTGACTCTTATGGATCGAATAACAGATTAGTTGTTACCTGCATTAGACTCTTAGGGAGGTTGAATTGAACCAAGAAACAAAATGAAAACAAGATACTTCAGTATAAGGAAGAAAAGAAATATGCTGGTTGCAGCTATTGATCCATTATCAGCATCCTCCAGTGCTAGAGAGGAGATTCCCTTTCATGCTAGGTAACAGCCTTAAGGTCATGAATAAGAGATGGTTAGGAAGCATATGTTTAATAGGCTTTTCCCTTAGTCTTATTTTATGTGTTCTGTCTGGGTATTTAATGTATATGTAACATATCTATATTTA